CTGGAGGCTGTGGTTGTATTGTCATGGTAACCAGTGCGTGCAGACTGGGTGACCCTCCCCTCGGCGAATGGATTCTCGGGAAACCGCCCAGGGTTCCCCCATGGATTCCCTTCCATCTAAAGGTCTCCCCTAGGTTGGGAGTCGAGGTAGTTCTGGGCGGCGAAGTCCATTTCCTCATTGAGACCCCGAGGCATTCACCGTGGGCTTTTCCACCCACCCGCGGACGGGAACCACCTCCAGAGTTTCCTCTCTGAGCCGGGCGTGACGAGGGCCGGCTTGCGAAGACGACGCCGGGCCTGCGGGCTGGCGGGCGAGGGCGAGGCGGCGGCGCGGGCGTTGGGCCGGCCAGGGGTTTCCCCGCTGCTGCCTCCGGCTCTGGGAGGCGGGATCCCTCCCGAACGGGGTCCCTGAGGGAGGAGAGCGGCACACGACAGTAGCGATCCCTCTCCTGCCAACGGGGACATCCGACTTTTCCTGGTGGATAGACCCCCTTCCGAAATCCACTCCTCTTCCCCCTAGCCCACTTACACGCGGAGGAGGCCAGGTGAGGGTGGGCACACCTCCTAGAAGACTACCAAGTGATTTTCCAGCTTGTAGAACCAGGGACAAGCAGAAAGGCGGACTATCGCCCCCTCCCCTTTAGGGAGATCCCACTTGATTACCCCCCCACCCCCGCCCCACTCCTGCCTCCACCGCAGTCTTCCTCCTCCTCTCACAGGTCCTGCAGCTTTAGAACTTGTCACTCTGTATCTTTGGGGTTGGAGAGAAAAACCTTAGGTAAAATCATATCAGGATGCATCCATACAAAGGTTCCATGAACGGAGTGTAGAAAAAGAATTTTCATTCTTAGAATAAATCTTTTTGACTTCTGCTATGTATGTTTAGGGTCGGGTTTAGAGCTAAAAAGCAGAAATAATAAGATCAATATGACGTGGAGCACATGGGAAATAGCTGGAGAAGTCTTTATCCCATTGGCAAATATTTTACAGATTGTTTTTTATTTGTATTGTGGAGTCATTGAAACAGCTGTCTCAAAGTCCTTTATGTAACTGTATAAAATCCTCCAGGAATGCAGCCCTTACTGGATAGTTAAAATCAGGAGTTTAGCGGACTGTTTTGGTTTGATTGGGTTTGGCTTGGGTCCCTGACTCCCGCTGTTCCATGGAAGCTGGAGAGACACCTCCAATACCCTCCCTCAGAGACAGTATCTATTTAAAGACTGGACCAATGTTCATTTGGAATATCGCGTATAGGTTTGGAGGAAACGAAAGTGCAGGCTACTTTGAAATTAACGCCAGAGACAGATTGTCTTTAACAAAATAGAAAGTGAACCTTGTCCCTCACGCAGCCGAGCCCCGGGTGTGATGCGGTGTGACGCGTGCGCAGTGACTGCAGCAGTACAATGCCCCAGTCGTCCTGCCTGCGCCAGCGCTCTGTCCACTCACGGGAAAGAGAGCCACCTAGTGAGAGATTGTCCTCATCGCCAGTGTAGCATCCTTCACCCCAAGAGCCCAAGGACGATTACTACCACATGCTGGTTCAAATACCCTTCATTTCTTTCCTGAACTTTGCTGGTTACATTTTAAAAAAATTGTTACCAGTATAAAAATGTTATGTGAAATATTGAACCCTTTACTCATCATCATAAAAGCCTTTAATAAACCGTTTATGAGCAGATATACAGCCCTGATAAGCAGTCTGGGAAAATAGAGAAACTGGGTTCGAAAAGATGAATCCTGGGGCTAGCCGGTGGCTGGTGGTTAAGGTTCTAGATCCCACATGGCTGAACTGTGGAGTCCTGGACCTGGTGGCACCTGCCTGCCCAAATCCTAAGAGATTAGAGGAAAAAGAATTTCTACATGGCTGGTGGAGAGGGGACGGGAGGGAGGGTGATTTCTCTTTGTCTCTGTCTCTGGCAAGCTCTATAGCAAAAAATAAAAAATGAACAAAGATGAGTCCTTATGACTTGCTGGTTTGTTTGTTTATTTGATAAATACTTACCGAGCACCTATTGAATTTCAGGCACTGTCCAACATACTCTGAGTACCATGGTTAAGAGAGATGGTCCCTGTCTTGAAGGAACACACCTCTAGTAGAGATATCACAGTACAGAAGTGATTAGGATGCAATGTGATGGATACAGTAATTGAGGTAAGAGCAAAGTAGGGACACAGATAAGATCAGAAATAAGAAATAAGCTTTGTATTTTATAATAGCTTTCCTAAGAATTTTGTAAGATTCTTCAATAGTTTTATAATATCCCTACAAACCAGACAGAACAATAATGTATGCTTTTTACAGATTATAAAACATTGATACTAATCTCAAAAGTAACTTCCAAGAATCAATGGGACTCAGAAAAATTATGATTTGCAATTTATAAACTGCTTAATGCTCATTTTCTTTTCTTTTTAGATTTTTTTTTTTTGCCAGAGGGCGTATACACTTGCTAGAGAGAGACAGAGAGGGGAAGTGAGAAATCACCCCCCTAGAGGGGATGGACATGCCACAATTCCTTCTCCATTTTCCTTTGCAGATTTTGGACATGTATGGGCCCCTTGTGTTTATCAGGCTGGCAGGTCTGGGACTGAAACCACGGAGTAGGCCATGCGGGATCCAGCACCTTAACCACCATGCCAGCTGCTAACACAATGCTTATTTTTTAATCTCATCTCTTTCTGCTCCCCCAATCAATAGGCTTGTAGAATACAAACATCTTTTTTTGTTTGATTGTTTTTGTTTTTTGAGAGGTTTTTGCTATAGGGTGCATGCACTCACCAGAAAGAGAGACAGAAAGTGAGAAATCACCCCCTGGGGTGGGGATGGCCACGCCGCAATCCCCTCTCCTCTATTCTCCTCTCAGGATCTTGGGCATGCAGGCACAAGTGCCCGGTGTGAGTTTAAGCCACTGGGTCCAGGCTCAAACCGTGGTCGGCTACATGGGAGTCCAGCGACATAGCCATTACGCCCACTGCTGGTCCGGAATACAAAAATCTTTTTGCAATAGATTTTATTCACTTTCCCCCCTGAAGCTATAGATTATATCTAAGCCAAAAGAAATTAAAGAGAAACTGCCTTGTTTCCTTTCATCCTACGTGATTTCAAAAAAAATTATTGGCTAAGTGATTTAGCCAAATTATGGAAGGATCATAAACTGACAAACCTAAGTGTGCATTCCAACTCTGCCATCTCAGTATCTGAACTTCGGTTTGCTCCTTAACCAAAATGAAAGCATTACCTCTTCTGCTGTACTACCCTGGCAGTTGATAAATGTTTATTTCTCTTCAGGTTTTGTTGTTGTTGTTGTTGTTGTTGTTATAGGGTACAAGTGCTCACCTGAGAGACAGAGAGAAGGTGAGAAATCACCCCCCTGCTCCCCCCAAAAGGGGGATGACCACACCTCAATCTCTTCTCAGGAGTTTGGCACACACATATACATGTGCCCAGTGTGATTCTCAAGGTGCCAGGCTCTGGACTTGAACTTCTCAGTTGGCTATGTGTGTTTCAGCTGCCTTACCCTCCAAAACACCCGTTGACCTATCCTTATGGTCTTTTGTTTTTTTATATGAAGCTAAAATGGATGATTTAGAACTACTATAGCATAAGTTATTTTTTTAAAGAATTATTTATTTAATTTTATTTATTCTTCTTTTTCAATTTGACCAGAGAGAAAGAGAGAGAAAGCAAGCTGCCAGATCTGGCACTTGAACCATGGTCAGCCATGTGGGAGTCTAGCACCTTAACCACCATGCCACCTGCCAGCCCCCATAATTTTTTTTGGACAGGTTTTTGCTATAGGGCACGTGCACTCTCCAGGAAGACAGAGA